TTCGTCGCTCGCTCGCTGCGCTCGAATTAAAAAACTCCGGGAAAACAAGAGAGGTCGACTTGGGGCAAGTCTATAGGACACCGAACGTGGTTGGATTTTTATAGTTGTTTTTTTTCTCTTCTTCTTCTTTCGATTATTTGAATTAAATTAAATTCGCCTTAAGTTTGATTTACAATATTAACTCTAGGACGGTTGAATATTACTGACGTTAGGAGCATCCATCGCGCGATCGCGTCGTTGTTGGCACAAACAAAGTCAACACGGAAAGGCCGTAACGCTCATCGGCTATTCAAAGCGTTTGACCTTTGGAAGAAAACGGCTGCATTATAACAGCGAAGGAACACGGACACAAAATAAGTAAACAAGTATAACGTTAATTTAATTCAGATAATCGAAAGGAAAAAAACTATAGAAATCCAACCACGTTCAGTGTCCTAGTGGTCCTTAGTGCCCTTGACAAGACCGATGGAACTGGATTTCCAAACTTCACCTAAAAAACGCCATTTTGCCTGACAGAGAAAATGGCGYATTGCCATGAAGTTGCATGGCTAGTTTAAAATCAAAATTATCTATTTGTCGTTACCGTTATTCCTGCTCGACATTTTAAGATAATCATAAAATAATAATAATGACGTATATAGTCATTTTATGCTTTGCATGAGATTTTTTTAAATTCTGGCAACGAATCTAAGGTAGATTTCGAGTTGTGATGCCAAAAAGTCAAAATGTCACAACGAGTTTCAGCACGTCTTCTAAGAATTTAGAAAGAGTTTGATTTGTTTTCTTCGAGGGAGCACCCCGCAAAAGATTTGCAGTTGYCGAAACCTTTGGAGAACGACGCATACAAAAATACAAGTCATGGTCAAAAGAATTAATTAGCCTTAAGTTTCATGGAAATTGAGTTTTGGTGTTTTGTGAAATACAAACAATTTACCAGGCATGTTTGAAAGTCAAATGCACGTTTTGAGTAATTTGCATACGGACTTAGATCAGGCGCAGACGTTTTTCACTCGATTGTGTCTGGTTGAACTTCACGTAGTATGGAARGCGCTATTGATAAATTAGCAAAAAATACTTTAATATCGCGTTAAAATTGGGGATTTCTTATACGTTATGTTATATAATATTTTCAAGAGAACGACCATTGAATTCTAAACGATTTCCAGGAATTATGCATCAGCGTTCTTGAATTCCTAGAAAACGCGATGCATAAATTAACGTCAGGCATTCAGCAACGCTGTTTCGTTAGAAGCAATAGCTAGTGTTTATAGTCATAAAACAGCAAAAAACACATCTATATAAGAATGGCAATTATATATATATATATATTATTATATATTGATACGTAACATTTATACTTTTAAATGTATCTTTTAAAAACTTATATCAGGAAACATTGTTCAGAGCGACCCCCTCGAATTCTAAATGATTTCTTGGAAGTGGCGTGSTCTTAATCTGATGTTCAAACAAATATATACCTAGCATATAAAACAAGATTCATAAATTATTTTAAGACATTCTGCATTCTATTATTAATGTTTACAATATACACTATGATTATATATATATCGAATTCCATATGATTTCTTAGAAGTGGCGTGGTCTTGCTCTTAAGTAACCGGAACCTGTGTGGATATAAAATTACCTTTTCCGTGTTTTCTGGCGTCTATTATAAAGACATAAGT